GGGCTCGACTCCTTCCTCCCCTTCTCCTTCCTGCCGGCGGTCGGGCCGGGCAGCGAAAAGTTTTCAGTTGGCCTCGCACGGAGCGATCGAGGCGGACTCTGCTCGTAGTGGTGCGCCCAAGTGCTAAATGAGCCTTTGAGGTTTAGCTTCCCAGTCGTGCTCGTTTTAAGGGCTGCAGAGTAGTCTTTAATATTAGCGCTTTGGGATTTTTTTGCACCGGGTTTCCTCCCCTTTCTCTGCGATCGATAGGACTCTTTATATTGTGATTTTGTTCTTAATGCGAGGAGCAATAAAACCCGTGGAACCAGTTTCACTTTCAGGCAGTTGCTGGAAATGTTTTAAAGTGTAGCGATTTCTATCCAGTGTGGCTTTTGATAAAAGAAATAATAATTCTACTACAAAGCTTATGCTGATTTTTGGTTGAAACTAATGCGTGTGAAAAAGTAATTCATTTAAAAATAAGTTTGGAATGTGGGTGGCAGCCCTTGTGTTTTTTCACATCTAAAGCCAGTTAAAACTGAATGCTGCAGGGCAGTCTTCTGTGTTTTAAATTACAGTTATTTTGCAGGTTTGAGAACCTGTGTTTGCTTATTTACTTGTCGCATTTGCTTATAACAGTCCAATTTTTGACTTGTAAGAAATGGAATGAAAAGGCTGCGAGAAAGTCCAATCTGGAAAATTAAGTGGGACCTAAATATATCGCTTTAAAAAAGCAATCGAACTAGGTGGGTTAATAGTCTTTACTCGGTGCTTCTGCCTAGGGATCGTTTGGAGGAAGTGTGTAATGTGAGGTACAGGGAAATGTAGCAAAGGTGTGTACTCTCCTGCGTGGAAGTTATTGTTTTTGCCACAGGAATAGTTTAAGTGTTGTTCTTGAGAGTGTGTAGGCTTGTGCAAAAGCCAAAGGATGGTAGACTGAAAGTAAGCATTCTGTTCATTTTGGCTCCCTAAGGGGCCAGGTGACTGTGCCAGTAAAGATAATGTGTACAAAAGTTCCCTCTCATTGGCTTTCATTTCTCTTACCTTCTAAAATTTGATTTAATTTTGCAAGGCTTTTGATACCTTCTGCAAACTACTACCGCATACCTTCGTTTTTCAGGTAAGTCAGTACACTCGGGGCATGTGTGATATTTTGCTGAATCTAGCTCTGAGCACATGAAGTTAATTCAGGTGTTGAAGACCTTGGCTTTGGGTTGGTGTTGTTTTTTGGGGGGTTTTACATTTAAATTATTGGGGTTTTAATGGTAACGCAGTGTTTAAAGTGAAGTATTTGCCTCATTCAGATACACCGGTGAGGGCTTTGTGGAAAGGTAATGGAGTTTGTAACGAATGTTCACTTGTCTCAAAACTTGGGTATTTCACATATTAATCATCACACTACCCCACTCCAAAATTGCCTGCTAATTTGATATATTTTTTTATGAAAGAGTCTCCCCTCTTGTGTGAAACCCCCTGGGGAAGAGGCTATGGACAAAACCATTGGCAAACAGCAGAAACTGGCTTCAGACAAAATGCTGTCAGACATAGCAAATGAAGAGACAGGAAAAATCATTTCTGTAATTTTCCAGCAGAGATTTTACTTATAATAAGAGTGGAAGGCACATTTCCAGATAGAGGTGAGTTCCTTATATAAAAAAGTAAGTTTGATTGGTTCTGATTTCCAAGAATCCCAAGATGTTTAGCTTTGGGGTTTTTTGTTTGTTTGTTTTTAATGAAAACTGAAAGTATGTTTTCTTTAATTTGGTACCATGCTTGAATTTTCTTTTTTTGTCATGCTATGAGGCACAATTAGACTTCAGTTCCACAGGGGGCAAGCTAGTACTACTACAGTAAATTATCTTGGCCAGCTTACATTCAGAAGAGTTGTAATAAATTAGTTCCATCGCCTTGTTTCCTTAATGCTAACGTCCAGAGCTAAATCTAAGCTTGTGGCATCAAACATTAATGAACTTTTGAGAACAAAATCTGTGCATCAAATTTAATACCATTGTGGAAATACACAATGGGAAGCGTGTGATCTGTTAAGGATGTGTGGTTAAAGTAAATGTCTTATCACAGACCCTCGGCTCGAAGGTTGTGGTGACCTCATTGTTGACCTTGGCCTCAAATACCATCTGTCCCTACTTCTGTCGTGGTTCTGGGGCTTAGATCTGAATATGGGAAGGGATGGGGGGTCTGTGTAGGTGCTGGTAGGCCTTTGTTAAGCTACAGCTCTCGTACTCAAAGCTCTAAATTGCTGCCTTTCTGACTGAATCACTTTGGTGCTTGAATTAGTAACAAAACCCATTTTGAGGGGTTTGAAGCCTTTCTGTGCCTGATTTGGATCTCTGTCCTGTGGCCAGGATGCACTTATTTGAGGGCAAGAAGTTACTTAATCATGAGGTATTTTTTGTAGCAAGTTTTCACCTTCAAAACACTTTCTTATAAATTTTACCAATACTTGAGCATAGTCTTCATCAAGACACCAGAGCTATTTCCTGAGTAAGTATTTGATGTCTAATTAACATTAAATGGTTTTGGTTATGTATTTCGACCATGTGTTGTTCATCCTTCATGACCAGTTTTGTGTGCTGAAAGGAGTAGTTATAACAGTAAAATAATGTATGCTATAATGTGCTGACCAAACTCAACTGTATATGTATAAGACTATCTGTTAAGAGAGTGAGAAACTAGTTATTTCTCATATTTGTGTAGAATTGTCTTCCTGCTTATAGGGAAACCGGTTTCCTTGATTGCATTCTTTTATCGTACCATTTGCCTTGTGTAATGGTTAATTAAGAGTATTTCTTAAAAATACATTGTTGCCAAGTATTCACAGGGAGGAGAGGAAGAACAGGAAAATGGGAAGTTGGGCAGAGTAAGAAAGCAGTTCTTAAGAGTTCCTTTCTCCACCCAACCCTTTAATAAAGAAAAGTATGCAAGAAAACCCCCAAGCAAAGAATCGTACCGGCTTATTTGCCAGTCCTGCTCACCCCAGGCTTTATGTTGCTCTGGCTAAAAATCTTCCCTGTTGAGGAACCGGTAATCTCATTAGGAAAATAAGCCTTAGCCAGTGTGCCTAAAAGTTTGTCTTATTCTTTTGTTTGTGCATTGCTTCTGCTTAATGTACTAGTAGATTCTCTATTAGTGTTGGAGCTACCTAAACTGCAGCTCTTTTGGTATTAACTAGCTACAGGGTTTTACTTTTAATAGTAAATACTCAAAGCATGTTGGCGGGATGCTGTTCTCTCGTTTGTTTGAAGGTGAGGGGCATTATTCTTGTTCAGTTTTGAGGATAAGACAACCTCTTCAGCATGGCTTTTTGAGCTAAATCCAGCTTCTAAGAATAGGAATTTTTTTTTTCCTTATATGCCTATATTGTGAAACATGAATTGAACTTTACTGTGGTTGCAGTTGGTAGATTAAGTTACTACTACTGTTAGTCTCTGGTAGCTTTTTTGAGCGCAAGACTGCATTCTCGTGGGCAGTGTCAGTGGGAACCCCTAGCAGGGTAATAAGCTTCTTTTCCTGAGGCTGCCATTCCCTGAGGTCCTGTAGCTCCCCTGATTAGGTGCTTCTTTGTCAGACAAGATACTGCTGGTCCGTCGGTAAGGCACACTGCTGCTCGTCCCTCGTTGCAGGCTGCTGCTGTTACTGAAACAGCTGCTTTATCTTGGTTACGGTTCTCTTTGAGGCATATATTGTCCATCTTAAGATTTTGACTTTTGAGTTCAGAATCACACCCCAGCTTTTTTTCTGTTGCAAGTGTTAGAGGTTCTGTTCTTTTGTGGGCTCCATCTAAGCTCTGCAGGAAAGGTGATGAGGGATTTCACGTATTCCGTGCTGTGTGTCAGCATGGATTAAAAAGAAGTTTAGTGGTGTTTATTATCAAAATAGGAATGTTTTGATCTGCTCTAGCAAAATTCCAGCATAGGTATTTGCATATCATCTTCTCTAACTTCCACCTACTTCTGTGCACAAAGTGCTTCATTTTTTTTTTTTTGTTGCAAAACTGTACCTCTTCCAAAGCTCACAAAACATATTTTGAGTAGTTTCCCCAGACCTATAATCCAGATAATAAATTAACTGCAAAAATTATCTGGCAAATAGGGTGGTCATCTGGCAAAAGCCTGGATGGAAATGTTTTATAAAACCTATAGTATTATTTTAGAATAATAAGCAAAACTGCTGTTTTGAGTCACTCATAACTTGAACTGGGACAGTTTGGACAAATATAGAGTAAATGGAAAGGTGGTATAGGAGATGTTCTGACAGTTACACTCTACAGACTTGGTTGCTGCTTAGGAACTTGTGCAATGCTGAGGGCCCAGATTTACATATAGAAAATGAAAAATGTTTCCTTTCTCATTTGTGGATATTTTGGCAAGGAGGGCTTGGCAGTAATATTGAGGTTTTAAATAAATATACGTGATGCAAAAGTAGAACAAAAAAAAAAAAGAAAAAAGAAGAGCCAACTGTGCTATTGTGGTATCTGCGATTGTAATCTTGCACCGTGCTTCGGCTTGCCTTCTGGGCCACTGGGCCTTCTTCTTGCCTCCAAATTCCCGTTTCTTTCAGCTCCCCGTGCAGCGGGAGCAGTGCTGGCTACAGAGTGTCTCTGCTGTAACGCTGGGAGTTGGGAGAACTGGGAAGGGGCTGCGCTTCTCTTTGTCCGAGCTCCTACAGCATTTCAGACCTCTGCCAGCAAAATACTGAGCAAAACAACTGCTGCGGGGGTCCAGAGTTCTCCAGTCTGGATTGGAAAAGGGATGTCCCAAGACCACCGAAGGCTTGAAATTCTCCTTTATGTGGGATGAGGCCCTAATTTCTTGGTGAAATCAGATCAGGGGACTTACAGAGGATGAGGGAGGAGAATCCTGCCCGTGGGCTCTAAAACACCACTAATATCTGGCCATAATACTAGGAAGCATCAGGGTGTTCTGGTGTTACTGCTGGGAGCAGTTAACATGGTGTTGCGTTTAATTTCTTAGCAATGAAAGTTCAATATTGTGAGACATTAAGGAGTTGGGGAAATCTTGAGCAAGATGACTAGTCCTCATGTTCTGATCTGTAAATCACTGGCACTGTTGGCAGAGCACTGTATCCATGGCAACGTTGTGCTCAACTTCTGCCGTATCTCCACACACGTGCACACACAAACAAGTCACTGATCTTGCATCTTGTTGGCTAAGAGCATCGGTGCTCGTGTGCAGGTAAGACTTGTTACCAGCGCAGGTGAGGGCTGGGCTCGGCTCTGCTGTTGTGCAGCGTTTCTCTAAGGGTTGTGGTTTTGCCCTGGCGACTTCAGGCAGGTGTCAGTTCCTTCAGGGAATTGTCAAGTTGTGCCCCATCCCAAGCTGGGATTGGTTTTAATACTGTTTCCAATTGTTGGCTGAGGGCTGTGTACATGATTAACATTACACTGACTTTGTTGTTGTTGCTTTGTTTCAGAGCTGCTTTAAGTGTTTTAAATTTGTTTACTTTATTGCATAACCTTTTGTGCTTTCCGGTTTTTGTTTGGTTTTGTTGTTGTTTGGTTTTTTGAAATTGGATACTTGGATTGGGTCAGTGTGGAAATCAATTTTCCCTTTTGACTGTAAGGAAATCCCTCCATAATAAGATTTAGTCAGATATAAAAGGAGAATAGAGAATATTACAATAAAGGGATAGCATGACAGAAAAAGGCTCAGATGAGATTCAACAAGAAAGATGTTCAGGCATATACTCTCTAGGAAAGGGATTTGGGGAACTACTGTGATGAGATATTAAAGCTATCAAACCGAATGCAATTTAAGAAGGAAAAGTCTGGCCACATGTTGTTATTTTTCAGTCTACAATGACTTTTAAATAAAATTAGCTATTGGAAAAGGAAGTACAGGCAAAGGCTTCCTCAACATTTTTTTTTGTGTGTTCTTGGCTCTCTTCTCTTGTGCTTCGGTTGTAAATTTTTCTTTGTCTTCTCTTTATCTGCTATTTCCTCTCAAACTTAGTAGATACTGTTAAGAATAATAGAAATACTTTGAAAATTTTTTATTGTTTTTAGCTTAATGAGGGCAGCTCACGTAGCAGTAGCCTTATTTTGGCAGAACTGTGTAACACATTAAAAAAGTAAAAATTGTCACTGTATTAAAATGCCTGTGTTTTATGTGCATCAGAAAAAATACATCAGTTAATCTCTTATTTATACTTTAATGTCTTTGCTGCAAACTGCTTAACTGTTACACATTCTTCAGAATCGTGTGGTTTTATTTGACCTCAGATTTTTTGGTTATAGGAAAACTGTTACATAACAAGTTTTTATATATGACAGTGGCAAATTAGTCACCTTTCTATCTTTTAGCATTTATACAGACCCTATTGCCATAGTAACTGAGCTCTTCATAATTGTTAATGGATTAATCCGCAGAACATCCCTGTGAGGTGGAGAGGTATTCCTCTTCCACACGTGAGAGACTGAATCATGGGCAAGCAGGGTGATTTATAATAACCCCACAAGCCAACGTGAGCAGAGAGTCCTGCTCCTGTGGTATAAGTGCCCTCTTGGTTGAACTGTCTTTTCTCTGCTGAGCTTTCTCAAATGAATGAATTTTAGCGAAATTGGCTGCAGCCATCTGGAATGTGCTCATTTGCATGTGAGATCTGTGTGGCTGTCATTATTCAGCACATCAGGTTTAATGAATTCTGAAGATACCAGAAAAAGAAATGTATGGACTGCTGCTGTGTATTCTCAGTGGATCGTGAGCGAGATTTTTCTTCCCGTGTATCACAATACCAGCAATTGGCTAGTTTTGACTCTACCAGTACTAATTTAATTGGCAATGTACGTCTCATTTCTGCTGATAGAGCAGTTCATTAGTACATCTACTTTTGAAGACTGACTTTTGAAGATTTTTAAGCTTGACTTGGAAGTATTTGCATTCAAAATGCTTTGCTGTTCTTTGGATTTTTTGTTGTTTTGTTTCTTTATTCTTTTTAGACAGAGCATACTTCCCAAGCAGAAAGGAAAAGACGCGATTCATTCGGGATGTTTGACGGTTATGATAGTTGTAGTGAGGACACCAGCAGCAGCTCCAGTTCAGATGAGAGCGAAGAGGAGGTTGCTCCTTTGCCGTCCAGTCTCCCAATTATAAAGAACAATGGACAGGTCTATACTTACCCAGATGGCAAATCTGGAATGGGTAAGTGCTTGGGGCGTGAGTACCAAGAGTTCGATATTTATGGGTTTCAGCTGATGCTGCGAGTTGTGAGAGTCCAATCCCTAATATTAGTCCTAGCTGAAGAGGGACCAGAACAACTGAAGGGGTTGTTTTGGCATGAGGGAGTCGTTTGCGTTTTGCCAAACTGAACTAAGACAGATTTTAAATCCTGCTGTCAGGGAAGAAATCATATGTGAACGTCCGCCCTCCCCTCAAATGTGTGGTTTGTATATATACATATATATATATATATATATGCACATGCATATGTGTGTTCTCATTTACATCATTTTTATTTGAGTTTTGAGGAAGGTGTCAATGTGTGCTCTCTACTCTTGGGCATGTATTCTCTTTACCTTTTATGTTATAGATAAAATATATGAAAAAAGATTTCTTCCTATACTGTGAGAAGTTCATTACTGCCACTGTATGAAGTCTGTCAGTGTGTATCTGTGCACAAGAATGTAGTTGGAAAAACAAATTACAAGAGAAGATTGCTTTTATTGTTGGGGAAAAATATTTTAGCCAAAATCATTAATGATTAGTAGAGCTCTCTCTGGGTAGAATCTTAATATTATCTCACTGGCATAAGTTGGTCACAAGCTCTTATTCATCGTGGGACAGTTAACTGGGTGATGCTGTCAACCCCTGAAGTGTATGATTCCAGTTAGAAGAGAATATTGGTGGGTTGGGGTACTTGGAGTACACAAATTTATGATTCAAAAATGAGATCAGGCTTTATTTCAGGTTAGACGTGTTAAATATTTAGGGAGAATCAAGGTTGGCAGTCCCAGATTCACAGCAGACTTTTCTTGGAGAACGACAAAACCAAAGAAATCTGCTTTAGCTGAGGTAGCTGCGTCGTTTACTTCTATCAGTGGTGAAATCGGTCGGGAGCAGAAGGGAGGCACCCTTGGACCAGGGAGCTTGAGGTTCTTGGTGTCTCACCGCCAGTGGTGGTGGTGGACTTATTTTTCTATGCGGTTCTATTCCGGGTCAAACCCTAAGAAACTGTTCGGTGGTGCCACCTACAGGACCTTGCTCATGTTGCCTTTGTTCTGTATTTTTACTGAGGTCTTTATTACACCCTTAATACTTGGCTTTTTCTCTCCTCTGATTAGCTACATGCGAGATGTGTGGAATGGTTGGTGTCCGTGACGCTTTTTACTCTAAAACAAAACGCTTCTGCAGCGTGTCGTGCTCTAGAAGCTATTCATCAAACTCCAAGAAGGCCAGCATTCTGGCCAGACTTCAGGTAGCGGTACAGACACCATTTTCTTTCTCTACTTATATATATATATATATACAGTCTATATTTGTAAAATTTGCATGATGATTTAAGATAATTCAAGTTTCTTAACACATTAAAATCGTTGTGGTTTGGTTTTGAGGGTGTTCTTAACAGTATGCAGTTGCAAAATGGGTTTTGATCTGTTCACTTAAAGTATTAATGGTAAGAATCATCAGAATACATTTGTAACATTCAAGAAAAGAGACAAATGTCAAGACATATTATATCCAATCTCGAATTTATTGCAATAAATGCCAAGAAATTGTGTTGGTATAAATTAGATTAAAAGTTCTTCCTGATGATGTTTTTTTAAAAGATATCTTTTTTTCAGGTAAACAACAGTGAATCTATAATGCTGTTCGAGTTGGAGTACTAGTACAAAAGTCATCTTTTGGACATTCTTTGCTTCTGGTTTTTAAATTTATTTAATGTTACATGTAGTTTTGTGATACTTAGTCAACCTCTGTTCTGTGTTGTTCTAATTTTAGTGAAATGTACCAGAGAGATGCTACAAATCTATGAAAATTTCTTGATGCGAGTCTGGAAAGACTGTATTTACTTAGCTATTTTTATTTTAGGGTAAACCTCCAACAAAGAAGGCTAAAGTTCTACAAAAACAACCCCTAGTGGCTAAATTAGCAGCGTATGCTCAGTACCAAGCAACTTTACAAAACCAAGCAAAGACTAAAGCAGGTAACGGCATATAAACAGAGCTGAAACAAATTCTTGGTAATACAAGGTTTGTGTCTCATTAACAGCTTTTTAATAAAATAACTTTCTCTTAGCAGCTGTCCCTGTGGAAGGTTTCAGCTGGGGTAACTACATCAATAGCAATAGCTTTACAGCAGCTCCTGTCACCTGTTTTAGACACGTAAGTATTTTTTAATTTGTGTTATCCTTTTGTGTGTGTACATGAGAGAATGTGCCATGTTAATTCTTGAATTTTTACAAAATGTACGTATGCAAATATGTTTCATGGCCTTAGACTATGAAACTTTGAGTGTAAGCTCTGTGAGTGTGGCTACTTTTTAGATAGGTGTGTTTGGGTTTTTTTGCCCTTTAAAACCATTCTGAATGCTATCAGTTACTCTCATCATGCATACTCTCATAATCGAAAAGAAAAAGCTAAAGGAGGACTCAAACACTTGTGAAGTTATTTTTCTCACGTTCAGTATGCAAAGTCATCAAATGCACGACAGAGTATCAAACCAGACAGGTCACGCAATATTAGAAAGTTAAAAATGGCTTTTTCGGTTGAGTCAGGCTTGCTCTGTTATGTTGAACTGCTATTTTGGTCACATGTTTGCATTTGTGAATTTTTTTCATTTCAGTCAGATTCTCCCTTTCACTCATGCTTGTAGCTAGTATAGAAATACAGGAAAATGAAGGCTTTCTATAAATCTGAAATTAGGGCAATCAGCTTTCTTTGTATTATAGTTACAAAATTCCAACCAAAAAGTCCTCAGTCATTACAGAATGTGAGTAGGGAACGAGAAAAATATTTAGCAGCATCTGTCTTTTAATGTCGTTGTTAAATTCCAGTTATTAGATCCTGTTTAAAATATTGTCAGTACTTTCTGTCTCTTAAGTAAAAACTTTCTGACAAAGTGTTTTCTCAGCATCCTTCTTTGGGGAGGGAAGCTGAAACGTTCCGTCGTCTTACACCAGTTTTATTTTGCTCAAAATGATCTGATGGAAATTGCAATAAAAACAAACACGTTGTTTCATGGAAGCTTGTCCGCAAGGGAGGAGAGAGACACATTTTCTGTCCAGTGCTGGAATTTATGCTGCGCCCTCGTGTCGACTCGTAAATCAGGAGGAGCTGAGGGCTCCTGGCAGTTGGCACTTGGTGAATAGCGCCTTTATGCGGAGAGGCCTCCGCTGCTGCCCAGAGCAGAGCCTTGCGCTGGGGTAGCGGCGTGAATTTGTATCAGATTCCATGTGCTTAAGTAAGCAGGTTTGCACTTTGCTTTCACAGTTACGTACCCGCTATAGTGACCAGTTTCATAAGTGCGCATCAAAAGGCCTTGTCTGATAGCGTGGGCTGTGCCCTTGGGACAAACACTTCGTGATGGGCGACATCCTTTGTTAGGAAACAGCTACGGTAGCAAGGTCACTTGGAAATGATGCTGTAGTATTTCCTATTACAAGGCATTGTATCTTCCTTTCTTGTTGCTTCATTCATTAAGTTGAATGGTATTCCAGTAATGTGAACAGATGCAATACTAGTGTTCATATTTTATCTTGAGTATTGTCACAAGCTACATTGCAACAGTTCTTCTAAGCCTGAATGTTGTTTCTTTTCTGTCCCCGTTGTCCTTTTCTGTACAAATACAATGTCAACGCCTGCAACCTCTTTGGGAGATTTCTACTTCTTGGGTGGACATCAGTCTGAAAACACATTAATACTCTCTTGTTAGATCCTTCTCTCTTTCTCTTCCCCCCTCCCCTTCCCTCCCATCGATAACCAAAAGAAGCAATACTCTTTTTATCTCTCTGGACAGATTATTGCTGTGTTTTCTTTCTACTATATTGCTTAGATTTGTAAAAGATTTTATTAGTTGATCTTTGTTTATCCATGTTATGGGTTCCACGCACATGTGTATGTCCGTGAGGTTGAATATATAAGACATGCTCAGTTCAAAACAAAAGTTTTTGAACTCGCAGTAGAATCGTGACACATCTACCCTTAAATCTGTTTTAGATAAAATAGGTGTCTGGTTACAGCGGGTGTATCTGTATGAGTATTTGATAGGGAATATTGGCATCAATGTTAAAGACAATTTAAGGAAATTATGAGATGTGGGCCTTAGCTTATTGATTATTCTTTTAATAACCTGGCAATCTTCATTATGAGAGGAGTTAGTTTCTAAGACTTCTGATGCCCTTAGTGTGGCTTTTGCCACTGTTGCCTTCCCATCAGACTTTGGCATAGGGTCACGCTAATGGATTGTGCTAGCAATAGTGCAACTCTGCCCACGTCATAGCTAATTAGGCTGAGGTAGAGAAGCTGTTTGGGTTTGTCATACAGGAAGCCTGTGATAAAGCCAGAATTACAGTTTGTGCACCTTGCAGCTTTTTTTTGTAAAATTGTGTTAATCAGGCACACAGCAGTAGCTGATGCAGGGAGGGAAACTCTTAATTTAATGTGTTTAATATTGTGTTATTGCTTAGTAATGTACAGTGTGCTCCTTGCTAACCTGCATTACAATTTAACTTTCTTCTAAGCAGTTTTTGCTTTTTTTATATTTGCCTTTATTAGCTCAAACCATTCCTGGAAATGAAAGTGACTACAGTGCCTTGAGTCATTTGTCTGTTATAACTTAATGTGTAACTTAGTGCACAATTAATAGCCATTATTATTTTCCACTCAGTTAGCGACATGCACATTTCTTGAAATTATAAATTTTCCAGTCTTTCTTCCAGTTGGTTTTTATTCTGAGCTGAACTGCCAAGTTGGACAGAGCCTTGAGTAGCCTGATCTAGATGAGAGGTGTCCCTGCCCAAGACAGGGAGGTTGGATTAGATGATCTCTAAGGTCCCTTCCAGCCTAGGCCAGTCTAGGATTCTATGATTATTTTTGTTGTTGTTTAGTTTCCTCTAAGGGAACGCTTCCAGACTTTTACACTAGGTGGCAGTGCTGTGCTTTGAACTTGTTGTTCTAGACCATTTTGCACGTGGTTTTCTCTGACGTTAGCTTTCCTGGGAGTGCTGTTCACACACGCAGGTTTCAGTGTGGTATCCTTACGCTTCGGGAATTGGTAGCATCACTTTGCCCTTTAAAATCCTGATTAGAGTCTGAAACCGTGGCGGTGTTGGTGCCATCCGAAACATTTAGAAGCTGTGAGAGCCGTGAGCTCATTTAACCACGAGATCTTTGTCCAGCGAGGCATGTGGGGACACTTTGCCTTTAGTGCTCCTGTCAAACAGGACCTTCCTGACTGCAACTTACCTTGCAGAGAAGGCAGCTGCTGCTCACAGATAAACCCTCCCAGGTCATCTCCCGGAGCAGGAAGCAATGAACCAGACCTTCCTTGTTTGGGAGTGGCGCAAAGTGGATCGCTTCGTCACGAGGCTGAAAGGTAAATTTGTTCTTACCTGTAAATTATGGTTCTGCTAGTTCGCACCATGCCAATCCAGACTTCACAGTTGTCCTTCCAGCCAGCAGACGAATCAGATTTAACTCTTACATAGTGCTTTTTGAGTTTTTTCCGAGCACTGTGCAAAGATTGATTGATTAATTGGATGAAGGCAGAGAACATGTGAAGGAAGATGGCTGTTGCAGCCCTGGTTTATCCAGTCTTCCTCCCTTAAGAATATTTGTAATGAGTTTAAAAGGAAAGGAGGTGCAGTGTACCTGGCGTACTGTAAGCCGTCGCTTCCAGACAGTGACGTTACCTGGCATTTCAGTAGTGATGCCACGCAGGATGGGTTCCTTCTTCTGAGCGGTGAGCCATGTGGATTGGTGTAGGAGAACTAGCAGAACCAATATTTTCACAGTCAAGGACAAATTTAACTTTCTGCTATTTCCCTCTATACCAATCCATGTTCTAGAACTAAAAATTTGTGACGTTTCTGTTACTGGATGATGCGAGAAGTGTGTTGATATACTTCTCTCTCTGAGTCAACGGAATAGATGAGCAGGTAGTAAATTATATTTCGGTTAAATGCAGCTGGATTATGAAATTATTCCAGCCCTGCTATTTTCGATTGTTTGGCCTCATCTGTATCCCATACAAGGCAATAAGAGTAGAGCTCTGTGGTCTAGGCAGGTGTAGATGGGATGTAGCAGAACATGAAGAGACCAGGCATCAAGGATAAGTAACTGGCACTCTTGCAATAACTTATTTTTCCTTTAATAGTAAAAACTAGTTTTGAATCTGAGGGTCGGCATGCAAATATTTCTGTTAGTGAAGGGTATCCCTGTATAAGAAAAGTTTGGCTTTTAGTGCTGCTAGTTAACTATTGCTGACTGCCAGCAAAATTGCAGTATTGTGACTTCTAGTCGTTCACGACTGATTCAGTTTTCTTCACTTGTGGCTCTTGGCCAGATTTCTCTGAAGTTGGAGGTTGTTCCACCCGAGCAACTAAGTTCTCTGTGTTGCAAAGAGTTTGTAAATGAGACTCAGAAAAGAATGCTCTCTGCGCACTATGGTACAGAACCAGAGGATTCCTTATTGCCCCTGTGATATCTGGACAGTCTCTGAACTGACAAGAATTTGTTTTTCTCAGAACACCTTAGGACTGATGCGACTGTTGCTCTAAAATACCCCGGATCTGATTATTTCCCTTCTTGGTGGTGTCAAGTTTAATGCAGACGGAGTCATTTTGTGTTTTATTATCAGTATAACTTCATCTGAGTAACTTTTAAAGTTTGAGATTCTTCAGCACTGTGCATTTTTGCTATCTCCACAGCACCATCTCTGCCTACCTTTTTGTGGTGCTCTGTTCAACAAAGCATTCTTCCTGAGATAGCAGGCAGCATGGAATTTTTATCTCCAGTTTCCACAAATCAATAGTAGTTACTCAAGCTTGTATTTCTTTTTGTTACTAACATGTTAGTCTAAGCCTTCAGGACAATGTATGCAGAATCTAGCTGTGTGTTTCCTTCTGGCAGTTGTTAAAAAGGTGTCACTCTGCCTTCTGTTCTTTTTTTTCTTGCTTGATGGAACAATCACTTGCAGGTGATAGGAAAGCCTGTTCATCTGAGAGGATGTGAACCAGTGGGTGATAAACCCCACCTTAATAAATCATCAGAATAGATTCAAGAAATAATTTCTAGGCATTTTTTTCAAGCATGTTTCTGATTTACAGCATTTAAAGATTTTTGTCTGTGGTGCAGGTGTGAATTCAAAGTACCGCAATTTTCATGCAGATAGAATTGCACCACTCTTGCCAAAATCAGTAGCTTGCACCTAGTTGAAACATGGTAGAATAAAATTGACCTATGAGTATATATACAATTTGTGCTTGCGCTATACAGGTTTTAAACTTGGAATCCTGTAGTTTTTGCAGGAAACACACAGTAAGAGTTGTTTACAATTACGCTGCTATGCGTAAGCTTCGAATCAAAACCAAACTAGGTTCTTTTAGGAGTGTTTTCTAATTATATACTTATGCCTTATCACGTATATTGATTGTTTTGTGTTAGGTCGCTTGTAAAATACTGATATAACAAAAAATAATTATTTTCACATGGTGAACTGGTGACTTTCCCCTGCCACCCACCGTACTTTGACTGATAGGCACCTATGGGCACGTGCTGGGGCGATATTTCAGAAGGAGTGCGAGTCGAGGTTCCGAACACTGACTGCAGCCTACCTACAAAAGTCTTCTGGATAGCTGGAATTGTAAAATTAGCAGGTAAGTGTATTTTAGTTGAAATTAAAATAATCAAAATAACTGTATGAAGGGAGCTGATAGCGTAGCCAGTATAAGGTTGACACGGCTTAGGTTGTCCAAGCTGTGATGCTGGGTGACATGTCTTAGTGCTAGCCCTGTGTTAACGCTGTTTTACAGTGGCTTCAGTGATGCCTGAGAATGCCTGTTGGGGTGCTTTATATTGCCTCAGTACAGTAAGAGCAGAGTAGAATGAGGATATAGAACACTAGAATAGCTAACAAGTAAGCCTCATTGTATGAATCACTTTTCGTTAAAAGCTAAAATTTCAAAGTCGCCTAGCTAAGAAATGAAAAAGCAGATACCGTGGGTAATTAATTTTCTCCTTCTACATAAAACTTGTAAAGGTTTATAGTTCAAGAATTTTAATTTTAATTAAAATTTTACTTACATGATAGCACGTGCACATTTATCAAAGTAATCCATTCTGTGCATGCAGAAAAGCGCCTTCAGAATAGCATTCCCTAAGAAGTTAAAGTCTAGAAAATCCAGTGTAATATACGTTGTGATTAATAAAGAAATATTAATGCATGTTTTATCTTGTTTTTTCTCTTTTTTAAATGGGATTTCTTTCTTTCAGGCTATAATGCTCTGCTAAGATATGAAGGCTTTGAAAACGATTCGAGTCTTGACTTCTGGTGCAACGTTTGTGGGTCTGACATCCACCCAGTTGGTTGGTGTGCAACCAGCGGGAAGCCCCTAGTCCCTCCTCGAAGTATGTAAATAGTAGCTTTACTGATTATTATAGAAGCCTCTCTTTATTAAATTAAATTTGCTTACGGTCCAGATAGCAAAGTGTTTTTTTGTCATCGCATTTCTTTCAACAGTTATGAATAAATCATTTTAAATTTTGGAAAAATAAGGACTTGACTGATGCTGAAAGTGTTTCTTGGAGTAGCCCATCTGATGCGACTTAGTGTTTAAGGTCAAGGTGGAAGCAGTTAGCTAATCAGTGATGTGAACATGCACTGATTTCTTTATATTTTGTTATTAAATTCTTTGCCCTGACATACCCATAAATTTAACCTTGGGTAGCATTCATTCTCTAAAGAAGTTTTTGTCATTGTCATCCAGGCTTTTGAACAGTCATCTGGGATTTCTTCTTTACATATTCCAGACTCTAATATTGTCTCTAATGGACACAATTAAAAATCAGTGGCTTATTTTTTCCCCTTCATTTGCAACAGCCATCCAACACAAATACACAAACTGGAAAGCTTTTCTAGTGAAACGACTTACTGGTGCCAAAACACTTCCTCCTGACTTTTCTCAGAAGGTAAGGCTGATGCAATATCAATGATGTACTATAAACAAAATTGCAGCACGATGTGAAGAACTGAAGTATTTTACATGGCACATTAGCTCCTTTTATAGTGAAGGTGATACAGTAGTTCTTTCCCATAAATACAGTTTTCCTTGGAATCTATTTATGTCCACACTTGTCAGTATGTATTTGGAAAACTGTTTCCTCTAGCCAGAAATAATTGACTTTAAAACCTAGTTAATCTATTTTAATTTTAAACTACCCCAACTTAAAAAAACCCCAAAACGTACTAATAAGCTACCCTGTGATATGTAAGAAAAATTAAAACTTTTTTCCTAATTCAGGAATTATTTTATCATGCACTATTTCAAGAAACTGAACAAAATGTGTTAATATAGTACATGTCTAGATGCAATAAAGTACATACTTTTAAGTGTTAATATTTTTCATCTGCTCTGGGCTTTTCTTTTTGCTGTTTTTCAGTCATGTCTTTTAAGTGTGGCAGCTGCCTGTGTAGTGTGCTGTAAGTTTATTTAGTAATATGAGAAGGTACATAGCTTTTAGTAGGAATATTAGACTTACTTGTTATCTTACATTGCATCTAATACTAAAAAAAAAACCAGCAACCTTTCTGCAGTTTTTAGTTTCTATTTAAAAATTGGCTCAGTTGAAAGCCAAGTTGAATTGGCAAGATCTCAACACTGTGAGAAGTTCATAATGGAAATGGCAAGTGACAGATCCTCATTTTCAAACAGAATGTATTGTCACAAGGCACATTTAACATCTATTTCTGTTTTCTTTCTTTTTGCTGTATTATAAAGATATATGCTTATGAGTGGCCAGCTTTAATTATGTTGAAAGTTTCTTTCTCATAATTTTTATTTTAAGGTATTTTAATTGTATTTTTAAAGTACTTTTAAAATATTATATTTTGTGTGAATGGCCAAGCAAAAAGTACCTTTTCTGTTTAAAATTGTTTCTCACGGCAGTTTTATCCATTGTTAACAACTAAAACCACACTTTCATTAAATCAATGGTAAATTCCTTTAACCTGTGTGAGAATCATATTAGGCAAAGCACTGTAGGATCTATTCTGCTTAGTTTTCTGCAGCATTTCATTTTTCCCCACGTGCAATGAAATACAAGGGAAATTATTGGTATCGGTTTTGCCGGTCAATTAACAGGTGCTTGAATTAAACGAAAGGGGCATTGATACTGCGTTTTAACAGCAGCAGGCAGATGACTAAGGAAAAACAGAGCACGTTCTTAAAAGATTTATTTTTTTTCCCCTGTTACTTTAAGGTGTCTGAGAGTATGCAGTATCCGTTCAAAACTTCCATGAGAGTAGAAGTTGTTGACAAAACACACCTTTGTCGAACAAGGGTAGCAGTTGTAGAAAGTGTCATTGGGGGAAGGTTAAGGTTGGTGTATGAAGAAAGCGAAGACAAAACCGATGACTTCTGGTGCCACATGTACAGTCCGCTCATCCATCATATTGGCTGGTCTCGAAGTATAGGACACAGGTTCAAAAGATCTGGTGAGTGTTTTAGAGGTGTCTGCGGGCAGGATCAACCTGGGAGAGGTCTGACTTAAGCGATACCGTCACTTGATACAGTTAGTAAGACTCGCTTGAATAATGATATTAGAAAAATTATATAATGCAGCCCAGGGGTTTTGCCAATACTATTGCATTCAGGAGTTCCAGTTAAAGGTATACTTGCCGTGTCTTGCAGCATTGGAAAAGCTAAAATAAATTTTAGGTTGATTTGTGTAGTATGTTGTTATCTAGAACGATTCAATCATAAGCAGTGGTTAAAAAACTGTCTAGGCAGGAAAACCATGAATGTCAATATTTAAGCATGGTAAACTCCATTTTTCATGCTGATACCTGGAATTGCACAATCTTGCTCTACAGACTCCTGTTTTCTTCACACTTGTGCAATACGGCATGGACAAGTATCCTATTGGATACTGAATTCTTTTTGTACTTGAAAGTTTAAGGACTCTCATCCTTATGTTGCACAACTTACGTGTTTGAAGGGCGTTAGGAGATGGGCAGGGAAGACGAAATGTCGTAATAGGTGGTAGACAGTTAAGACCCTTGTTATCTAAAATACAAAAATACTTGTAGTTTGAAATATTTAAGGCTTCTAAACAAAACCTTAATATTTTTAGTATTTCTCTGCTCCGCTGAACGTGTGTCCCTTGTCAGAAACAGAATTTCTGTAAAGCCTTACACAAGGCATCCCATCAGGAAAGCCTGGAGTTTTCCTAGCACTTAAACTTTCGCTGAAACTGTTTACAAGGAAGAGTAGCTAAAGAAATAAAGAACAGTGCTACTTCCCAGAAATAATGTCTCTAACAGTTCCGGGGATTTCCCTTGAAAAGTGCTATTCTACAGTTGGCTAAAGCCAGCTATATATACATATAGATATTTAAAGTTACGTATAAATATATAAATACCATTTTCTGTCATAGCATAGCACAAAGTAGTTCATCTGCCAATTTTTGCAGAAGTTTCTATGTATGATTATAGCAGTTGTGTGACATAACTGAATAGTCCTGTGAATCATAGGATCATAGAATGGCCTAGGCTGGAAGGGACCTTAGAGATCACTTAATCCTCCCTGTCATGGGCAGGGACGCCTCTCGACTAGATCAGGCAACACATATTGGATACTGTTTTTTTTCCACGAAGGAGATTGTATTACAAAGGTATTTCAGGTAGAAGTCAATAAGGACAATGGATGGATTAAATCTCAGATTTTTGTGGTAGTCTTAGTATAAACTGTGGGCCTCCCACACCAGAGATTGCATTGTATTAGTGAACATATGCAGGACAAAAAAATGTGTTGTGTCCTCTGTGAACAAAACTTCTGAATAATATGTACTGTTATTCCTTGCAGATATTACAAAGAAACAGGATGGACATTTTGATGCGCCACCACATTTATTTATGAAGGTGAGTTTGCTAGCAAGAACACCGTTTTCTCAGAATTGATTGAGGACCTGTGGTTCCTGGTGTGTAAAAGAGACCTGAAACTCTGCTGAAGTCCTGGAAGTATGCCCAGCACAAGCATTACTTTTTTTGTATTCAAGGACTTAACCTGATTTGGCCTCCTTGACATAAGCAGAGACGATAGAACAGGTATTTTAATCTGTACCCTTGGCAGTGTGGGGTGATACTTCGTTCCACAGTTACGAGATTCTCAGCTTCTGGTGCTGTTATGTGATTCTTTAGGTGAAAGAGGTTGATGCAGCTGGAGAATGGTTTAAAGAAGGAATGAAACTGGAAGCTATAGACCCCTTAAACCTTTCGGCAATATGTGTGGCAACTATTAGAAAGGTAAGAAGACAAAGGTGTATTTTGGGAAGGTGACATAGGAATCCTTTTTTTCACTCTCCTCTATTTAGGTTTGAAACGAAAAGCTCTAAACCAATTTAAATGGAGTTCATTCACACAGTGAATGTTTGTAAAACATGTCTACTGATTATTCTTTTTTTATATCAGTTGTATATAAACATACTCATGTATTTTTTTTATTTATTTTGACTTTAATCTCTGGAAATTCAGTCTAAACTTTAATTAGAATAAGTTTGTGAGATTAGTTTATAGGAAAATCTTCTGCTAGTCTTACCAAATGTTTTGCAACTGTTCGAAAAGAAACCTCAGCTTGCTTACTTGCACAAGTTCATGAAGACATTTTAAAGGTGGACTTCTTTCCTGGCTTAATTAAGGGGAGCCCATCCATGTGAAATCTGTTTTAGGAGAGGAAAAAAATGGATAAAGTAGCTTAGCAGAATTGCACAACCTTGCTGATGAGGACTGCGGTTATGATTTTGAGCCTTTATTTCTTATTAATGGTGTAGACTGAGTTATAAAGCTTTAGAAGTGATGTTCACAAGAAAAATAAACTAGACATCAGAAAAAAGAAATGTTCATCTTGTAACTTTGCAGTTAGGAAAGGTACATTTGACAATAGAGCACGCAGTCTGGGCGACAGGTACGGTTTGGGGCTTTTTGTTTTGTTGTAACTGAATGTCCTAAGTGTGCTTCCATTATTATTGAGTTATTTTCACTCTTTTGAAACATGGCATGCTTGCTTTCTAGCCTTATCACGCAGTTAAAGGTATTTAATGTACAATTTTGTTTCTCTTTACAAAGGTTTTAGCAGATGGCTATCTTATGATTGGGATTGATGGCTCAGAAGCAGCAGATGGGTCTGATTGGTTTTGTTACCATGCCACTTCCCCTTCTATTTTCCCTGTTGGTTTCTGTGAAATTAACATGATTGAACTAACTCCACCCAGAGGTACATATAGCATTCTGACCACATTTTATTTTGAATATTTTTCAGTGATATTGTATGTGCCATATGCTTTGTTTCTTAACTCAGCCTACAGAATTCATGTCACTTTTTAGGACTTTCTCAAGTCTGAAGCAAAAACGACAGCGTGACTTCAGAACGATCTGAAACGGAGATAACAAGCTTTTAATTTAGAAAAAGTCGGCTTGAACATCTGGTTGATTCTTTGGCTAAAATAACTGCTTTTGCTATCAAAAATTGAGGATAGCTACTGGTTGAATAATACATCATTAGGTGACTGGGAAGTATGCTGGTCACTGCAAGGGCTGTTCAGACTAGATCATTGCTTGGGAAGTCCTGGCCACCCAAAGGATTAAAAAACTTTGTACAGGATCTCAAACTTGAACAATACCAGTTAGTTTTTGGTAGAATATGCACAAACCCGAGCTTTGCACAACTACTCGGGAGAGCTGTGTGCTGCATAATCCCTCTGGTGAGAAAAAGCTGTCTGTCCACTAGCACATATGTCTGCAGAAAAGACTGTATTGTCTTAGCTTTTCCACTTTATTGTCCTGCTCTAACAATTTATAAAGAGGATTGTAATAAGCTGTGTACCAGCAGATAATAAGGTTTTCTGTGGATTTTTTTTCTCTCTGTTCTCATTCTTGCAGGCTTCTACTTGTATTTATTGAATTATTTTTCTAGGTAATAACTCCAAAGGCAGTGTAATGCAACATGAAGAAAATAATTTCATATCATTTTCATTATTGCACACTAATGAATCTGTTGTCTTTGAGTATGTCAAAGCTGGACAGATTTACTATTACTTTTCAGTCAGCTCGTTTAGTGAATTTGTTCCCTAGAAATTCATAGGAACAGTCTCCTTTCAGAAATGTGATGCAAGAGTCTCTTGCAATAGGAAAAGGATTTTTGTGGGAGGAAAAAGCATACATATCAATATATATCAACCAATTTAGTAATAAATACATTAAATTGATGATAAAGAATAGGAACAAATCTCTCTTCTATGATAAAACCTTTTTTGTCAAACACTACATTTTGAATTTTGTTGTTAACATTTTTGACACTTCTGTGTTTCTTGTATTGTGGCAACCTTGTTCTTTATCTACGTGTATATTTTCCTTTTTATTACAGTTTTCTGTAACAGTCCTCTATCATCCACTGAGAGGTGATTATAAATCATACATGCAATAATCCAAAAGTCATTTGAAAGAGGAATTAACAGGAGTAAAATGCAGAACATAATGCGCATTAACGTATTTAATAGGATCAAAATGATCAAAGCTTCTTAGCTCTTAGGAGAGGTATATTTTGCTTTCCAAATCACTGACTTGAAAATGGACAGTTTCTTAATTTTGACTGTAACAAGGACCACATACATGTCTCATGTGCATGGTGAGAAGTTAATTAAAGGACTTGTGTACAGATGTATTGGTATGGCCAGAGGAACCATACATTAAGAAGAAAAGTATTAGTACCCAAACTTGATTCATTATTACCCTTATGAACCGCTGGCTGTCAGCTACAGCTGTTCGTGCAGATCTTACGCACTGGACACGAACGCTTTTCCAAAGCGCATTTAGCAACGTGAGTAACTTGCTGTGAAATCATTGGATTTCATTCACAAGCTCATTGATTCATGATTTCTTGCTGAAATCAGTAGAAGATGAAGATGCTTGGACCTGGGAATGGGGTTCCCTTCGGGGCTGTGAGCATTAGCTGCTGCCCGAGGTGGGAGCTCTCCACTTGCGCTTAAGCGAGTTCCAGCCATTTCCAGTAGCTCCCTGTGCCGTGCCCACTATGCTGCAGTTTTTTCAGAACGTCCAACACTGCGTACTGTTACAAAGAAGTCTTTCAAGGTGTTGTTACTCCAGCTAGAGTTTGAGAGCTGTTGGTTTAAGCATTTCTGCAAGTTACCCAAAGTAAGAAAAACAGTCCTGTGTATTATATGCATATTCAGTAGGTGAACAAAAGCTCAATATATTTGAGATTTTTTTCTTCCCTTTATAATAGCTTTTAAAATTGGGGAAAAAAAATAGCCTGTAATTTTCCATATTACTGCTATTTTTAGCCTTAATTAAGTTTTAAAATATCCATGCTTGTTCTTACCAGTCTGTTGCTAACAATTCAAGTGTTTAAACAGCGGAGCTCTTTCCCCACGGGAAAGACACTGGATGTCCTTAGTGACATGATCTGTTCTGGGTCATTTGTGTGGGGCATTGTAGAGATCAAGGATCTATGTGGACAAAAAGCTTCAAGTATGAGTGATTAATCTTAACATTAAAAGACACTTTCTGTGTTATCCAGAGGTTAATTCATCTTGTTTTTTGCAAATGGACAGTGTCCTGGTGACTGTCTTGTCCCTTAGACCAAGCTCAGAGAGTGGAAGTTTCTGATGTTTAATGTTTTGCTTCTTTGTTGTCTTTTTAGCCATAACACAGTGCCAATATATTATTTTTGTTGTTGTTTGTATGCATCAAGTTTGCAGTTAATGTATGAAAATGTTGCTTAAAATTCACAGGTTATGCAAAACTCCCTTTTAAATGGTTTGACTACCTCAGGGAAACGGACTCAATAGCAGCACCTGTAAAGCTCTTCAATAAGGTAACAAATGTTATATATGTATAAACGCTAGTTAATATTTTCTTTCTATTTCTGTCTGCATAGTCCATGAGATTGACCTATTTCATGAAATATACTTTTGAACAACTGGGACAACAGAGGCTTTTAGAAATAAGAACCATTAAGTTTGAATATTTCTGGTATGTTAAAAATAGGGGTACGTTCACCTTCATAAATGATACTTGGTATTTACCTCCATCAAGTTTACTAGAATATCAGTTTCATTGCTGTGCTTAAAGCATTTTAATTCACATTTGAATTACTGACATTTGCCTTGTTTGTGTTTGCTTTCCCAGGAAGTTCCAAACCATGGGTTTCATGTAGGAATGAAACTGGAGGCTGTCGATCTGATGGAACCTCGCCTGGTATGTGTGGCCACAGTAACTCGCATTATCCATCGGCTTTTGAGGATACACTTTGATGGGTGGGAAGACGAATATGACCAGTGGGTGGATTGCGAGTCCCCGGACCTCTATCCGGTGGGATGGTGTCAGCTAACTGGATATCAGCTCCAGCCTCCAGCTCCGCAGTGTAAGTCCTGCTCCGTGAATAACGTAATAGTCGCTTACTGGTCCTTGTTTAGGGGTGATGGCTTTCTAACTTCATCCTTTTCAAGTTAGGCCATGAGCCATAACAAAAATTGAACAAATTCTTGCCAGAGCTTAGAAGCACACAGTTCTAATTTCTTCCACCTTGACTTATAAAGTACTTCTGGGCTTTTTGGGGCTGCTCACTATTTTTTAATGCCAGAAGATGTTTACTTGATCCAGGGAAAAAGCCTGTTACTCGTTCAGTTCTGGATAGTATCGGAGAGTTGATACTGCTTTAAAATTGCAAATATATGTACTTTTTACATACCGAATTTGAGGGAACTCAGCATGTGCATAGCTATTAATGTGCAGAAGTATTTATGTGAGAAGACTGTATTTTATTTAGTGCATCAATACTTGCCCTGTCAGTTCAATTTAGATAATAATGATTGAGAACTATATTGAGAACTGTTGTTTAGTGGGAGGATAATAGTTACAGTTAATTACGCTATGGGAGGCTTTTCCCACAATAAAGTTATTCTGCCTTCATTCAGTTACTAGGAGAAATTCTGTATCCGTAGCAGCTTTGACAGGTTCTGAAGTGTTTCTCTAAAATACTGAACTTGAATTTTGACTTCTTAATTTTTTGCAGCATCGAGAGATAGCCAGTCAAGTTCATCAAAACAGAAGAAAAAAGCTAAATCACAGCAGTACAAAGGACATAAGAAAAGTGGGTGACAAGTAGTGTTTGTACTTTGTTGCTTAAAAAGTCTGTGGTCTCTCCCTTAGTACCTATTCTGTTTGGAAATGTTTGTGTGTAAACAGGTGTTACTCTTAAAGGTGCAGTATGCCATAAAAGGAACTTTTCATTGAGAATAACCTTTTTTTTTCTAAGTTGCAATGGGGTTCACGTTGCTAATAACGATCTGTGAATTGTAGGTGGACAACTGTTACAATATTTTTGCTATTTGGACATCATTCTAGTTGAATACATTGACTGCGTAGGTGTGCTGCCTTGTACTCAGGTACCAATCCAGTTCTAATTCTGCTCTTTGTAACACCGGTGTAGGAGGAAGAAGCGAGATACTTGGATCGAAAAGGAAAATATGTAGAACATCTAAATTGCCATCTAGCCGGTTTCTTTGCAAAACAAGTGACTTATTTGCCAGGTCTTTTAGATGAGACATCTGTGGGAAGCTGTATGTAAATAAAACTTTCATATGATTATTTTTAGAAACAGTGAATAGCATTATTGCTTGTGACAATTGTTGTCACAATGAAACATAGTAATGACGTTTTCAAGAAACTGAAGTATTCAAGTTCATTCCATAGTAATTGTTTCCCTCTGGATGAAGTTATCTTCAAAATTCACAACCAATTTGAGTTTGCAAAAATGCACATTTTGCATTCCTCTATACTTTTATTTCCATGATTCTTGATTTAAACTGAAAATCTGTTTCATATGAGTAAAATCAAGGGAGCAGAGGCAGCCAGTCATGAGAACCTTGTGCCTTCTCCCATCATCCTCTGGAAATGAGATCGATCTCTATTCTCTCCTCTATGCTATGTTGTAGTTTCACATGGCAGTTTTAGTCCCAAGGTTCTCAAGGCATTTTTCCAATAATTCGACAATTTGAAGAGGCAGCTACCTCTTGATTCAAGAGCAGTAGCAGCAACATGACAGCCATTGTGTAATACATGTATGTGTAAGATACGACATGGTGAATAAGAACATAGGGCAAGCCTATAGTCTTAAGTGCCTCACAATTTTTAATGATGTTTAAGTCAAGACTTTATAGGGTTTTTTTTAAAAAGAACTGATTACAATGAGGTGGAGGGGAGGGTTTTTTCTGTCATATAAGGTGGAATAGTTTGTCTTGATAGAGGTAGATGGTCTAGTTCCAGACAGCCTAACTTCAAGAACTGATTACAATGAGGTGGAGGGGAGGGGTTTTTCTGTCATATAGGGTGGAATAGTTTGTCTTGATATAAGTAGATGGTCTAGTTCCAGACAGCCTAACTTGTATAAATTACACTGGGAGCATCAAATCACTCTGCTGACTCATTCTTTTGGTGTTTTCTTGGAAAGAGCAGAGAGTTGGAAAGACACTGCAGACATATGGGCAGATCTGCTACAGAAAAGGGTCTGTATTATCTGTCATCTTGAACTGGCCCTGCTTCTTTGTCAAGATATTTTCTACTAGGGCAGCCTAGCAGACAACCAAATCAACAGTTTTATTGATGTTCAAAGTTATTTTACCTGCAGGTCAGTAAAGCTGACCACCAGTGACATTGAGAGAGATTTTATTATGTGAAATACTCTTGTGAGCAAGAACGGTAGCCTTTTCTTACCATTAGGATCTTATATCATCTTGGCTTATTTAGCCTTGTTCCCAGAGAGTTTTGTTGCTCTGAGATTTGAGTTCATCTAAGTATAAAACTAAAATTTTAATGCATGTTTCCCTGAAAGATACGAGGATGATTTTCTCACTCTCTTAAAAACTCAATTTGAAATGCAGAGGCTGTTGAAATAGAAACTATTCTGTTCTGTATATATGAGCTGCAGCTGCTTTGCAGCTGTTCTCAGTGACATATATTTCCTGGTGATCAGTCTTTACATGGTCTTTAACTTCTGGACAGCCTGATCTTGCAAAGCATCGCTCATGTTAATGACTGCGATTGGAGACTTTGAAAAGGTGATGTGATGACTACTGGTCCTAGATAAAGGAATAGGTATGGGAGGAAAGTATTGGCAAGGTGAAAGATTTCATAAAAATAAAGCTTTAGACATGGCAAGGGGAAAGAACTCCAGATGAGTCTGACAGCCACTGTCAAGTCTGATTAAATGGACAGTTCCTATGTTGAATTGTGTATCATGAATTAGCTGCCCCCAGGAAAACTCTTGCATAAAACCTAGAGCAGGAGTCTGTAGACAGAAGTCGATCCATTTAAAAGTAATTCATTTTCAACCAGAAATTGAATGGAATTAATGGGCTAATCTGGAGGTGATTTGGAAAAAAAAAAAATCAGGCAAGTTCAGGCAGGTTTGTGTAAGCTGAAAAGGAAAGATAGAACTCTCTCATCCATTTCTCTTATTTCACCTCTTTTTATCTTTGAATGGTAGTTTGTTGTATTGAAGTAAGTTATTGAAGCGATTGAGGGAGCTGGGTCTGTTCAGTTTGATGAAGAGGAGGCTGAGGAGGGATCTCATCATGCTCTACAGTTACTTGAAAGGACATTGTAGAGAGGTTGGTGCTGGTCTCTTCTCACAGGGAATTAGGGACAGAACCAGGGGGAATGGTTGCAAGTTGCAACAGGGCAAGTTTAGGCTGGACATGAGGAAGAAATTCTTCACGGAAAGAGTGGTCAGACCCTGGAACAGACTGCCTAGGGAGGGGGTTGAGTCGCCATCCCTGGATGTGTTCAAGTGTCGTTTAGATGTGGTGTTGGGTGATCTGCTTTAGGGATGAACTTGTAGTGCAGGGTCAATGGTTGGACTTGATGATCACAAGGGTCTTCTCCAACCTGAATTGTTCTGTGGTTCTATGATTATTGCTATTCACAACATATTTTTTTATGTCTTAGATCATGTTTCTATTTTCTTTTTATGAAAGAAAGAAGAGAGAAGATTTTGCTTGAATGGAACCTTTTGGGATCTGAAAATTTTAATGTGTTGCAAAATCTTTGTTTTTTCTTGTATCACATAGACCGTTTACAGTGAATAGTCTGATGTGATTCGTAGATTGCAAATGGCAAACAGTTAATCTTTTTTTTACCTGCCTAGAGACTAAACAGGAAGTAAACATTAAACAAGAGTGGGCAGTAAATGTTGTTCTGAGCAACAGCACTATTTCTGTGCACATGCTCAGTTACCTTTCTCTAACCAATCTTTTAAAATACTGAACTTTTGTGAAAAATCTTACGAAGAATATGTCATATTTGTTCAAACATGTTAATACTAGAGCATAGCTTAAGGTTCCATTTATGGGCAGAAAGCACCTTCTGTGCGATGCCGAGTGTTAAGAGTCACCGAAAAGCTGAATATAAGAAAATGAGAAATCTGAGGTCTGTTCTCACTTTAATATTAAGAGACATTGCACCTACTGAGAATTTTCTGAGTCTTTGATGTTCATCCTTTGTTTTCAGTGACTTCGTTGCAGCTGAAGGAGGAGTTGCTAGATGGAGAAGAGTACAGCTTCCTTCAGGGAGCGTCTGATCAGGAAAGCAACGGATCTGCCAGTTACTACATCAAACAAGAACCGTGAAGCGGCAGCTCGGACAAGTGAGGGGCAGAGTATTGGTGATCGGAAAAGAGCCTTTCTCCAAGACTGACTGACTTTGTTCCCACTTGGATGGTACAGTTCAGGTGACTGTACTTGGGGCACTTTGCTAACTGTAGATGAGTTAGACTCAGTTCCGAATTTTTTGGAAGGGCGGGGAAACTATTTTAGTGAAACAGATTTTTCAATTTATTAAAAACAAAAAATGGACACTTTTGTGTTGTATTTGAAGCTTTTGAAAGAATTTTGTAATATTTTCAAGTTCAGATTTATTGTGCATTGTTAACAAGAACTGAAATTCTAATTTTTTTGTAAGATTAAAGTTTAATTAGCATGATTGTGGGAAGCGGTTGGAGGAAGATATAGTTGCAAATACAAATGAACTGTCACAACAAATGAACCTTTTTGGTACAAGTTGGGAGACTTAGACTCTTGTGAACTGCACTCTTGTCACGCCTCTGTCTTTTTTTTTTTTTTTTAATTGTGAAAGTGAGGCATTTAAGCCCTAAGTTGGAGGCATAAATTGTATGTGGAAGATAGTTCTGTAAAGCTCTACTCAGTGAGTAGCCCCAGTTGCAATGGAGCCATCGCCTGAGGAAGATTTTTAACTTTTCAAGATGTTTTTATTTAGTTCAAAATATTTTTTTTAATGTAAGATTTTTTGGGTTTTTTTACAAGTTCCTTAGGTCTGCTTCAGTGCCCGTTAACTCTCAGTAGCCTTGTTTCCACTGACTGCAGTGGGCCTTGGTTTGGGACTCTAATGCTCTTGTCTGTACCTGGATGTCTGTAGTCTTGGAAAGCTTCAGCAAATGTTTACAGAACCCTATGCCAAACTGGAACTTCAGAAAATTCCCTCATCTGGAAAATTAGTTTTAGTTATGAGTTTAGTTAAACTAAAGAGGCAACTTAGACAGTAACTCAGGCCTTCCGTAGTAGTGGGAGGGAACTTCTGAGTGTTCTTCTATTTTTTTTTTTCCCATTTAGAAAGACCTAGAATGTTTCCTTACCATCTTAAATATTTATTCGTGAAGATTCAAAACCAATGTTCCACGTGGTTTCAGGTGAGCTAAAAGGAGCCATACGTTGTGGGTTAAGAAAAGAGTTCAGTTCTGCACAGCCTGCAGTATTCTTTTCTTGCTGCAGTATTGACATACGGAAGTCGAGATTCGTGCCGTATATAAATCCTACACTGTCTGGCAGATAATTCGTAAACTGGATTTGCTTATTGCCTGGAGTCCTTGTGTCTCACTTCAAGTACCCCATTAGCCCCACCTCCGTAACTGTCCAGATTTTTTACAGGCAAAAGTCATGGAAAGGGGTGAAAGTGACTACCGGTAAAATAGAAAGTATTTTAGCTTGAGCTCTTAATGATTTGGATTTTCTTTCCATGTTTTTAAACTTGGTCTGTTTTTGTAAACGATCGCATTCCTGGAGTTGATTAGTAAAACGGTTGATCGGCCCTGCAGAGCTGTGACTGGAAAAATGTGCATCAAGAGCTTTATCTTTTACCAGTGAGGTTCATTAACTAAACTCTCAGGAATTAACTGCGTATGTTCTATAAGTGCTTCTGGGTCTCAGCAGGTCCCCTTCAGAGCAGTACAATGATCATCTGACTCTTGACTGTAAATTAGGGCTTAAAAAAAAATAATCAAAATCGTGAGTTTCTGTGTTCTTGCAGCCTAAGAAATGCTTTAAGGATATCAGCCCACAGAGCCCCAGGAGAGGCCATTTTTGTAAATCGTTGTTTGAGCTTAAAGAAAAAAAAAATGCATAGAAAGTTGAAAACCAGCAACTTGATTATTTTCTAAAATATTGCTCTAACTTTGGGTACATAGTATTGGTGATATGCACAGGTTTACCTCATTCTATGCAAGAGGGATTAATTATGTAAAGTTTTGTATTTACTACTGGAAGTAAAAAACCATGTCCTGTACAGCGTAGGGACGTCTGGAATACTTTTCTCCCGTACTGGTAAAATTTCTTAATTAGTGACCCCTTTTAAACAACAGCTTCTTCTATTAACAGAATCTGGTTGTCAGATTATAAGTATCTGTAACTTCAGGTGGTAAAGACATTTTAGCTCTCTGAAATAGCCATAAAAAGGACTTTGTCAGGCTTGGTAGACTTCAAATACATTCTCTCAGATTCTGACCCACCCATGGTGTTTCTTCTGAACATCCTGGATTGGAGAAGTAGGATTAGAGACCATTGTAATGACACTTTGAGCCTTGATTTTTTATTTTTCCTGTGCTTTCAATTTAACCCACTGTATAATCCAGCTCTGCAAGCATTGATTTGGTTTGGTAAGTACAGCACTACTGACTTTATTTTATTTTTTTTTTTGATGTAACAACTTGCAGATTGTCCCAGTCAGCTGGAACAAGGTTGGCACAATGTTGCTTTCTTTCATGGATAGCTTCTGGCTTCAGTAGAAGAATTGTTGCATTAATTTGTGTTTCATAATGTGAAAGCTTGAGCCTAGTAAGGGCCAAGTCCCTAAATCGTGGGCTTATACCTGATTTCTGATTTGAAGTGTCGAGAGGGAAAATCGGCACTCGAACACGCCTCCTGTGCTGGAGAAATGTGAGCGTTGGATCTGAAGTCTGTCACTCTTTATAGTGTTCTTTAAGACAAGGTATTTTATTCGTTAAACACTAAATTATGTGAGCCGAGTTGCGTTCTCAGATACGCACGTCACTGCGGTAGGAGTTGGGTGAAACTTGCGTTTCTGAATTCAAAACACATTGAAATTATGTAATCACAAGTGCACTGAAATCTGTCCTAAGCAACCCACGTAAGGAACTAATTGAACGGGGTTGCTTAGCAGGGGTTTGAGGAAAAACCCGAGCAAAATTCTACCAGGTGTGGAGAGGTCTCTGGGAGGAGCGGGCTGCCTGGCGGCCGTGGTGCCCGCGGCGTGGGCCGCGTGGTGTTTGGAACACGGTCCTGAGTAACTGACGGGCTCAGGGCGCTTTTATCTTCACTCTGAGCCTGAAGCCGGGTTACTTGGCTACGAGAGCAGCAAAGTGTTGGACATGGGAAATCGTCATTGGGGTCAGACTGATTGCAGCATTTGGCGTAGCAGGTTTTATAACCGTGAGGTAGTGCAAGCTGTGTACCTGACTGTGCAGCTACCCTCCTTTTATTGCTCAAAAATCTTTCTGCTGATCTTTGATTTTTATGTTACTTTAACTACGACTCTTTAACCTTTTCCTTGCTGCATCTGAGGAAAGCTAAAGCAGTTATCGATTCCTTGTTCTACGGATACTAACACGGGTTTCAGTGTTTGTTTGTTGGTTTTTTTTATTGTCGTTTTATGTGATGTGAATACCCTCTCCTGTCAATATTTGTACGATGGTGCTAATATATTTGGTAACAATCCTTTATTGGGAAGGGATTTTAAAAAACTGTGATTTAAACTGAATTTTTCTTCCTTTTGATTTTCGTATTTAAAACCAAGAGCCACAGCCATTTATACAAATAAAGGCGTCAGCTTTGGCCCCTGGGAAAATGTTGGGGCGGGAATCAAGATTAAACAAATAGGGTTTTTACATCCTTTCTGTATGTATTTGATATATAGATCAATATCTGTACAAATTTAATCTTTTATTTTCTTGGTAATTTGTGTGGTCAATGAGAGAAAGTATTTAAAGCTTTCTCATGCAATGTACATAACCAAGTGAAAAAAAATGAAAATGCTTTTGGAAAAATTAATGTTACTTTCATTTTTACGAGACTGCAGATTTTCAGCATGGATGTGAAAAGCATTAAAATTATAACTTTGTGTACAAGATGAAAATAATTCACTAAATTTGCCTTTTTTACACAAAATAAAAATGATAAAAAGTCTTTCTCTGAATACAGTGATTGTTTTGTTTAAAAGGTGCTCCTGGGCACAAACGTGTTCCAGCTTGTTTCTCTCCCAGCAGAATGCAAATCAAAAACATCCCCCACTTGTAAAACCATGAAGGTTTTGAGTAACCGGGTACGTACGAATAAAGCACGAGAGGCTCTGAGCAGAAGGTCGGGTTTCTAACATGAGAGCGTGGTGTTACGTAAGCGTTTAACAGAGCAAGCTTTGCACTTGGTCTCACATTTCACGCTTGGTGTCCCACAGTTGTGTAGGGAGGGGAATCTTGTCACCGAGTAGCACCACAGTTGTGTTCTAGTTCAGTTCGGCCGTGTTGAAAGGGGGTCAAGTGTCCCTTCACTCTCCCTCTGCAAATGGGCTTTGCAAGCACCATGTGTTTTCAGCAGCCTTGCAAGGAACAGAGGTCACTGAATTTTTACTCTGATATGCCTGGATTTAAAAGTTTTAACTGTTCCTTCTATGTGAGGAAAATATTGAAGGACTGAGTAAAATGACTTAGGTGAATATTTGAACAGTCTTTTATAGTAAAGGCGCCACAACAAGTTACTTCATATCCATTTATTTGACAGTTCCGAAACTAAGATAACCGTGGTGATAATTGCTCCCAGGTTAACAGCTGGAATGAGATGACACGTTAAGAAGGCACAATTCCTTGTGGCAACTCCTTTCACTCATAGATCCAGTCATGTGCACAAGATTTGTACTCGATGAGTTCTGTGGGTTTGAACCACAGGTTGATCTCCTTCTGCGCACTTTCTACAGAGTCGCTGCCGTGAATGATGTTTCTGTGGAAGGAGAAAAACACATTGTTTCAGCTAAAAATACACTTTCAGCAACCTAGCAGTTCTCCATATACAGGGATGAAGCATCTAGAGCTGCAAGACTACTGTTGTAGGTACAGTCTTCAACTGCCCCCGCTATACGAGCTGATTAAGCCTAGCAGCGTGACTAGGGCTACTTTACTGCCACGGCCTGATCTTACATGAAGCTCTGATGAGGAGCTGTATTTCAAAAAAAGTCAGTTTTGTATCGAGCCATTTTCTTAAGTAGCAGTTACGGATTGTGACCTGCAAATAAAATACCATCAGACTAGGATATCTACCATCAAGTTTTACTTCCTAGAATAAGACTATCAATGTGAAGCTTTTAATCTTGATTGATAAGGAACTGAACACAAACCTTCCCACTTGAATGCAGAAGTCACCACGGATGGTGCCAGGCTTAGAGTCTGCAGGGTTTGTCTCCCCGAGCATTACTCTCCCGGTTTTAACCACGTTGAGTCCTTCCCATACCTTGAGGAGAAGACACACAAAGTAATCCACACTTACACAAGATACCAAACTTGTCAGTTTTTTAGTGGTGGAGCTCGTGCTTCTATTGCAAAGTATGTTATTAGCAAAGATTAATCCAGCCTAGTTCTCTCTTAGGCCTGTAAAGACAACTAGGGAGAAAATGTATGAACTCAAAGTGATTATAAAAGGGACTATCACTGTTATCACTCCAGTAAGGAGATACTTTTTACAGGCGTCAGTGTCAGCTGATGTAGGAGGCCAACTTCAAAACCCCCTGTAGTGGCAGCGTAAGGAAAGCCAGCAAAGTCCGAATAGGAGGAGAGGCGAGTGGAGCAGTTCCATCGGCTGGGGGGGTGCACAAAAAAAATAGCCCAGAAGATGGGTTTCTGTGGGAGAGCCCTCACCCTTTTTTCTCCAAAAGATTCTTTGGTGCAGAAGATTGGCTTTCAGGAATTACGCTTAATACAGGCTAAGCACTTCAATGCACATTCTGTACGCGCACACTTTTCTTCTTGTTAATAAACAGTAACTGTTTGATTGTCTGCACTAATTTTAGTTTTCTTTTGCCACTATCAGAACCTGGGTACTTTGAAAGACTGATTCTGCAGCAGTACCTCTGAGTATTTTACACAGTCTACAGAGCAAGAAAAACATACTCAAGAGAGTCATCTTTAAGAAGAATTAAACCACTTACCATGGCCACAACAGGCCCGGAGTTCATGTATTTCACCAAACCAGGGTAGAATGGTCGGTCTTTCAGGTCAATGTAATGTTGCTTGAGCAGCTCTTCGGAGGCCTTTAAAGGGACACATGTTGCACTGACTATCCCATCCAGGCTGTTACTATGGTAAGACCACAGCACCAGGGCCTGTGTTCAGCCCCCATTCATATTCTGAGGGGCTGCTGCAATGCTCTGAAGGGTTTCAGTGCACATTCCTGATGTTAAATTAAAGGAGTGCAGGACACAGTGTCTCTCTTTGTGGCAGTGCCAGTGCTGGGAGCTGTCAAAATCGTTTCTCTGCCCTCCAGCGAGGTGCACAAGATGCCTGCACGATGTCACCCGGCACAGCCTTTCGGCCAAGGTCGTTCCGGCCCTCGGTTCGGCTGCATTAACCCACCCAAGTTTTGTCTCCTTGCAAAACGGGAGACGGAGAAGGCTTGTGCTGGACAGAGCCTGGCCTGAGCCGGGACTGCCCTTCCCGCCGCCGGGCAACCTCA